TATGTGTGTGTGTGTTTGTAGCATTTAGGGCTGAATGCACACACACAACGAGTGTTTAATCATGTGTATGTTTCAGTATCTAGATGATGAGGAGGATGAGGTGAGGAAGAAGAAACCCAGACGCAAACTTACTTCCAACGCCTCCATTACTAGAGTAAGTCACACACACTAGGGTTGTGACGGTGAGGAAATTTTCCCACCGGTTAATCAACGTGTGACAACACCGGTAATACTCACTCACACACACACACACACACACACACTGATTTCATTCAGTTCAACACCTTTTCATTCTGGGAAAGATGGGGGGGAAAATATGAATTTCCTGAATGTGAGCCTTGCTGTCGTATATGGAATATTACTGTATTTGAATCTGCTGGTGCTGACTGGATCGGTGTGTTGTGTGTGGTGCAGGTGGGGTTCGGGCTGGAGCACGTATCCCGTGAGCAGATCCAGGAGGTGGAGGAGGATCTGGATGAGCTCTATGACAGTCTGGAGATGTACAACCCCAGCGACAGCGGGCCGGAGATGGAGGAGACCGACAGCATCCTCAGCACTCCCAAACCCAAGCTCAGTTTCTGTTAAATAAAATATATTTTTTTGAAGTGGACTTTGAGCTTTGTAACTTTGCAGATCTTTTTTATGCTCAAACAGCAACATTACAGACTCACTGAAGTTGAAAAAGTGAAAAAGCATAATAGCACCCCTTTAAACTGGGACAGAAGAAGTTTTTTTAACATCAAAACATTCATAAGGTAATATGAATTAGTCTTCATTTAATTCATCTTTTCTCTCTGTAACAACATGTCCTTTGAAGGCACTAAAGGACGTTTTTATCTGTTTTGGTTTTTTCATATCAGGGCGAGCAAAACTAAACTCAAACATTGTCTGAGACCGATGTGACATAAAAATGTAATTTTTATTTACTGATTTTTTTGTATTTAGTTGGCTATTGACCACTAGGATTGTAGGAAAAGTGTTCAAACTTTATTGTTCTCCTTATCATTTTTGGTTTTCACTTTAATTCTAATTAAAGTTTTAGTAATTTTGTTGTGTTTTTATATTTTTGTCATGTTTTTATATTTTTATTTGTCTGTATTGTTTTATTTATTAGTTTTAGTTTATTTAGTTTGAATTATTTTAGTACTTATAAGGTAAACCAAATGTCGATGAGAAGGGTGAGTAATTTTAGAATATATTTCTGTTGTGATTTTATATATATATATATATATATATATATTAATATTAGTGCTGTCAACAATTAACCGCATCCAAAATAAAAGTTTTGTTTACATAATATATAAGTGTGTACTGTGTATATTTATTATCTATATATAAATACAAACACATGCATGATTAAGAACATACAAGAAAAAAATGTTATGTTTATATATTAAACATATTTATATATAAATGTATATACATGTAAATATTTTCAAAATAAATACTGTATGTATGTGTATTTATATATACATAGTAAATATACACAGTACACATACATATATTATGTAAACAAAAACTTTTACTTTAGATGCGGTTAATCGCGATTAATCGTTTCACAGCACTAATTAATATTTTATATTAATATTTTATTTTATATTTAGATGGCTCTAGACCACTAGGATTGTAGCAAAGGGTTCAAACTTTTTTGTTCTCTTCACCATTTCATGTTTATCTCTGTCTGTATTTTATAACATAATTAAAACATTTATGATTTATTTGGATGTAGGCACTAGGATTGTACAAAAAGTTTAAAATGTTTTAGCTGTTTTCTATATCAACTCTCAAATAATATACACAGTACACATACATATATTATGTAAACAAAAACTTTTATTTTAGATGCGGTTAATCGCAATTAATCGTTTGACAGCACTAATTAATATTTTATATTAATATTTTATTTTATATTTAGATGGCTCTAGACCACTAGGATTGTAGCAAAGGGTTCAAACTTTTTTGTTCTCTTCACCATTTCATGTTTATCTCTGTCTGTATTTTATAACATAATTAAAACATTTATGATTTATTTGGATGTAGGCACTAGGATTGTACAAAAAGTTTTACATTTTTTAGCTGTTTTCTATATCAACTCTCAAATATCAATCAGGAGGCCCAAAGTAAAATAAAACACTGGCCAGCAAAAATTGAGAATATCGTGACGAATGAGAATGATGTGTATTTAGAAGTATAACAATATGAATCGTGATGGCAGCTGTGGTGTTAAAGTGCCCCTATTATGCCATTTTTACGGTTCCTAATATTGTTTTGGGAGTCTCCTACAATAGGATCACATGCATGCAAGGTCAAAAAACGCTTTCGTTTTCTCAAAATATGCATTTAATACCACCTAATTTTCCAGCGATTCTCAAACGATTCGTTCGAAGCAGTTCTAAGATTCAGTCTCTCTAAGCCCCTCCTTTCAATGAGCCTGCTCTGCTCTGATTGGTCAGATGGCCCAGTCTGTTGTGATTGGTCTACGGCATACAGCTGTGTCGGAAACGATACGCCTATTTCAATAGTTCTGCATTTTGAACGCTTTATAGAAAATATAAGCATCTATTATTTATCATACTTACAGGTTGTGATTCAGTGGAGCAGCTGGTCCAAATAAACAGGACACTGATCCATCTTTCAAGAGCAAGCGTTTTGTGAATCCCGCGTTGAACTCTTTAGAGAATTAGAGAAGCAGTCGTCAGTAACATGACGTGTTTGTGGGCGGGGTCAAGTTATTCGCGGTCAGCCAACGTAGAACATAGGCGGGAATTATGCAAATGTGTTACCCAGTGACGTGTAGCCGTCATGGAAGTGGGATTCGAATTACTAACGACTCGTTTAGGCTGTTCAGAGTCGATTCTTTATTTATTGTTACATCTTTGCAGATCGTTTGCATTCACATACAGCTACATTACTATGATTTATTTGGATGTAGGCACTAGGATTGTACAAAAAGTTTAAAATGTTTTAGCTGTTTTCTATATCAACTCTCAAATATCAATCAGGAGGCCCAAAGTAAAATAAAACACTGGCCACCAAAAATTGAGAATATCGTGACGAATGAGAATGATGTGTATTTAGAAGTATAACAGTATGAATCGTGATGGCAGTTGTGGTGTTAAAGTGCCCCTATTATGCCATTTTTACGGTTCCTAATATTGTTTTGGGAGTCTCCTACAATAGGATCACATGCATGCAAGGTCAAAATACGCTTTCGTTTTCTCAAAATATGCATTTAATACCACCTCATTTTCCAGCGATTCTCAAACGATTCGTTCGAAGCAGTTCTAAGATTCAGTCTCTCTAAGCCCCTCCTTTCAATGAGCCTGCTCTGCTCTGATTGGTCAGATGGCCCAGTCTGTTGTGATTGGTCTACGGCATACAGCTGTGTCGGAAACGATACGCCTATTTCAATAGTTCTGCATTTTGAACGCTTTATAGAAAATATAAGCATCTATTATTTATCATACTTACAGGTTGTGATTCAGTGGAGCAGCTGGTCCAAATAAACAGGACACTGATCCATCTTTCAAGAGCAAGCGTTTTGTGAATCCCGCGTTGAACTCTTTAGAGAATTAGAGAAGCAGTCGTCAGTAACATGACGTGTTTGTGGGCGGGGTCAAGTTATTCGCGGTCAGCCAACGTAGAACATAGGCGGGAATTATGCAAATGTGTTACCCAGTGACGTGTAGCCGTCATGGAAGTGGGATTCGAATTACTAACGACTCGTTTAGGCTGTTCAGAGTCGATTCTTTATTTATTGTTACATCTTTGCAGATCGTTTGCATTCACATACAGCTACATTACACTCTGCATGAAAGGCAATATTGGAAATGGCATAATAGGGGCACTTTAAAGGATGGGCGGCTCGCTGCGTGTCGAACATGACCCTCCAGCTCTGCCAGGGCTCGATCGTTTACAGGCCGCAGTCCAGATCATGCAGCCTGATGCACAGACCCTGCTCCTCAGACGTGTGTGTGAGTGTTTAGTTGGTGTGAGTGATTGTAGTTCCTGTGTGTGTCCAGCAGGGCGAGCAGCCGGCGTCAGATAAACTCAAACACTCACGGAGCCGAAACCTGGAGGAGCCGCTGTCTGAGACCGACACGTTGGTGAGACACTGCACTACAGATTCACACACATATATATATATATATATATATATATATATATATATACAGGAGCGCATAAAGCAAAAGTCAAAACATTCTTATTTTAGTGCCGTTTATGCATTGCAATTTTGTTTAATGTTTTTAGTCATTTGTTTTTCAAAATGTCTATATAGATTTTATTCATTTTGATTTGTTATTTTTTATTTTGTTTTAGTTGTCTTAGTACTGAACGAAAATGTAGCTGAAATAAAATGTTTACTTTAAAAATGTTTTTTTTTTATTTTGTTTATGGTTTTAGTTTCAGTTGCTTCAGAATGCATGCATATGTTTACATTATATAAGAAAAAAATCTAAGCACATGTCATTTTTTAAGAAAGATTGTACAAGCAAAACATCTGACAAAAAAAGGTGTTTATTAAACTAAAACACCAGTTTATTTAAAGTTAAATGCACAAATCGTCACATTTACACGCTGTCCAAATACTCCTGGGATCAATCTGTATTACACTCATTTCCCTTCGAGATTTTGCATGATTTGAATTCTTTCAGTTGTTATGATATGTTTATGCTCTTTTGTGTTGAATATGTCTATGTTTTGTAGGAACTGAATGATCAGGAGTTGTTCAGTGATGTCGGACCCTCTATAACGGTGTCTGTGGCTGAAAAACCACGAACACCCTTAAAAACCAGCAAGAATGAGCTTCAGTCCATGCCGTCACCCAGGTAATATATTATAATATAATGTAATAGAATGTGCACTACTGTTCTTATGTAGTTATGTCATTTATAATGTTACTAGGTTAAAAACTCAAATAATGCAGAGAACACAAAGCCCAAGTTTGATGGTGTGTGTGTGTGTGTGTGTGTGTGTGGGTGTGTGTGTGGGTGTGTAGGTTGGATGGAGGACACACACCCCATAAGCGCAGCACTCCTGTAAAAGACCGACAGCTCTCCAAACCGCTGAGTGAACGAGCCAACAGCTCCGACAGCGAGCGGTCGCCTGAGCTCGGACACAGCACACAGGTGCCAGGGCTTGGACTCCGTTTACGTCTGTATTTAGCAAGGAGTGGTTCACCCTGAAATGAAACTTTACTCACCCTCAGGCCATCCAAGATGTAGATGAGTTTGTTTCTTCATCAGATTTGGAGAAATGCAGCATTGCATCACTTGCTCATTAATGGATGCTCTGCAGTGAATGGGTGCCGTCAGAATGAGAGTCCAAACAGCTGATAAAAACATCACAATAATCCACAAGTAATCCACACCACTCCAGTCCATCAGTTAATGTCTTGTGAAGTGAAAAGCTGTGTGTTTGTAAGAAACAAATCCTTCTGGCTAAAATACGAGTCCATAATCCCTAATAGTGCTTCCTCCAGTGAAAAAGTTTTCTGAATCAGGAGAGAAATCTGCACAGCCAAGCCAAAACAGTTCAATTTTGATGTGAGAGACAACAGGAGATGGATTTTTTTCACTGGAGGATTATGACTAGATTATGGACTCATATTTTAGCCAGAGGCAAAGGTTTGATGTTAAAAACTTCTTAAATATGGATTTGTTTCAGCTTTTTGCTTCACATGACAATAACTGATGGACTGGAGTGGTGTGGATTACTGTGATGTTTTTATCAGCTGTTTGGACTCTCATTCTGACGGCACCCATCAGCAAGTGATGTAACACTAAAACTCATCTGCAGTACATCTTGGATGTTGGATTTTCATTTTTGGATGAACTATTCCTATAATGTATGGCCGTTAATAGCTGGTGTAAACGGGGTTTCTCTCTTTCTCAAAACACGGTTCTCCTCGGATTCCCTCACATTTCTTCACTCTCTCTGCCGTGGCTTTAAATAAGGAACGTTAATGCAGTGTTTAGTCTTGTTCTGCAGAGTCACTGTGAATTATTCATGTTTGTCTGACTCATCCCTGTGTGTGTGTGTGTGTGTGTGTGTGTGTGTCTCTATGTGTGTGTGTGTGTGTGTGTGTGTGTGTGTCTCTATGTGTGTGTGTGTGTGTGTGTGTGTGTGTGTCTCTATGTGTGTGTGTGTGTGTGTGTGTGTGTGTGTTTGCAGGTCCTCAGGAAGGCCGTCTATGATCAGTTGAATCAGATTCTGTTTTCTGATGCTGCTCTTCCTGAAAGTCTCATCATGATCAATGGCACAGACTGGCAAGGACAGGTACACAAGACTGTGTGTGTGTCTGTGTGTGTGTGTGTGTGTGTGTGTGTGTGTGTGTCTCTGTGTGTGTGTGTGTGTGTGTGTGTGTGTGTGTGTGTGTGTGTCTGTGTGTGTCTGTGTGTGTGCGTTTGTGTGTGTGTCTCTATGTGTGTGTGTGTGTGCGTCTGTGTGTGTCTGTGTGCGTTTGTGTGTGCGTGCGTGCGTGCATGCGTGTGTGAGAGACTGGAGCAGACTGTCCTAATGGCTGTGATGTGTATTTTTTACCACGGTTAAGTGCTGCTCTTAGATGTAGTGCAATGTGGGAATTTGACCATAATGCACAACCTCACATGGCTTATAACTCTTTAAAATAGCCACAGCGTTGATTAAAAAGACACCAATAAAATTACAATTATTTGTAATAACCAATGCAATAACCAATTCTTATGCTAAGTAAATAGTTTATTTGTGGAAATGTGGACCATTTGCGGTTGCAAAGTATTAATAGTGAATTCATTTTATCAGCTATTTTGCAACCTCCACAACTCAGTCCAAAATAATAATTAGAGTATAAAAGGCTTATTTATTTGATCAAAAATACAATAAAAACAGTAATATAGTGAAATATTTTTACAATTTAAAATAAGAGTTTTCTATGTGAATATATGTTAAAATGTAATTTATTCCTGTAATGCAAAGCTGAATTTTCAGCATCATTCCTCCAGTCTTCAGTGTCACATGATCTTCAGAAATCATAATAATATACTGATTTGCTGCTTAAGAAACATTTCTGATTATTATCAATGTTCAAAACAGTTGTGCTGCTTCATATATATC